TCACAGAGTATCTTCATTCTTGAGGAACGTATTTCTCTGTCGTTGTTAAATAAATATTGCCATAACAACCATATTTTTATTTAAAATGTATTCTTTTCTCTCGCTTCGTCCGCCATTACTAGCTTAAACAAATCTCCGGTCGGGCCGCAATGCATTATGGGATACGCTGGGCCGGGAAGGATCCATCGGACCTGTCCTTCAAATCGGGGAAAAGGAAGGACGTATTTGTCGGCCGCATCAGAGGAGTCTTCGGTTTTGGACGTCCTTCGTCGCAGAGCTGTGACGTATGCGGCCGACGAATTCGACCTTCGGAGGACCCGGCCTGCCGTTTTGGACACAGCCATATATATTTTTTGGGTTAAATGGAGGCAGACAAGATATTTTTCTTCTTTCTGTTCCTTTTCATTTAATGAGATTGTGTTTGTGTTGTGTTGAAATTTGTTGTTTTTAATTAAATTAAATAAACGTTTAAATAAAAATAAATAAAATAAATAAAAATGGAAACAGCTCTGGTTTACAAATTTACAGAAAACCTGGTCACGCCCCGGATATGATGTCATAGTAAACAAGGAAGTAAGATCTAGAAACAAACACAAACTAAGTATAAACTTCTGGATTATCTTACTGCTTTAAGCAAATTATAAAATAAGTGTGTTAATTGATTAAATTGATAATATAGATAAATGAATTTTGCATCTGAATTTCAGTTTATTTACTTATTAACCACAAAATATCTTAGTTATTCCACTAATGCAACAAAGAAAAAAAAAAGAAAGAAAATCCCGTCATCTGAAAAGACTAAACCAAAGAGATTCATAGAGTGAATCGAGCACAACAGACTGGAGCGACCTTTGACCTTATCAATCACGTCCAACAGAGTAAAGGACGGCGGCGCTGGAGACAAACTCACCATCTACTCAGCCTTATCAATCACTGACCAAAGAGGAAGACGGCGAGACGAAGGAAGAAAGTTGGGTGTCTGTTTACCTTATCGATCATGTCGGGCCGGTTGGTGGCGGCCAGCACCGTCACGCCTCGGAGCTGCTCGATGCCGTCCATCTCTGTCAGGAGCTGAGCCAGGACCCGGTCCCCGACGCCGCTGGAGCCCGAGGAGCTGAAGGGACGAGAAGGTCGGACAAGTGAATGGACAGAGGACAGTGATGTATGGACGCATGAGAGACAAATATTTCAAACAAACCAGCAAATCCAGAAGAAACAATTAAAGATAATAATTCAACATAATTGCAGCGTCTCATAATCGATACACCTTTAGAGTTTGTGCACTTTTTAATGGAACATGTGAAGCGTTTCTCTGACAACAGGCACTTAATTACTTCAATTCTTCTTCTTTGGCAGCAAAACGGAGCCTCGCTGCCAATGACGTAAAACTGAACTGAAAACACGGCTTCAGAAAAAAAAAAAACAGGTCATCCTGCTGTAATAAAGCAGCTCTTGTTTAGGAGCTTCGTTCGGACTTGTTAACATCGTGTCTCTCCTAAACTCAGTGTGGAGTGAAACACAAAAGCCTTTTTATATAAATTTCACTTGAATTCTTAAAACTAAAACACTCAATTTTTGTAGAGTGAAAATGCTGCTGCTGCCTAAAATCACAGCACACCAGAAATAATCAAAGCTAAAGAAATGCATGAAATTATCCCAGCCAAGTTAAATAACTGCAATTAACGAGTTATGTAACAATAACGACAGGCCTGACCCAAATCAATTAGACGGCTTTGTTTCGAGACAAAAATCAGGATTTTGGGGATGTTTTCGGAGACGCAACTTCCTCCAGAATAACTGCCAGGTTTTAAAAAGAAACAGTCGCTGCATTAAAAGGTGGTTATTTTGCTGACAGTCGTCCACCCGAGCTCAGACACACGCTGTGTTTGTGTCGACGAGGCCGGCGGAAGTGCCAGACGTCATTAGCACAGAGGAGACCACAGGGGGACACAAAGGAGCTCTGTCACCGAGATATGAGAGGAGACAAAAGGAGGACAGCCACAAAGAAGAGGAGAAAGTTTGGGTGAGGGGAGATAACGGGCCAGTCAGGAAGCAGAACAGAAACGAAAACAAGGAAAAAAAAGTGACAACTCTCAGGAGACAAACAGAGGAACAAACACGCAGCTAGGACATGATGTCAAACAGGAAGTAAGAAAGAAAAGTTTAAATGAAGAAAAGTGGAAAATAGGAGTAAGCTGACTAGGGCTGCCACGATTAATCGATTAATCGACGACTAATTGATTATTAAAATAATCGATGACTAATTTAATAATCGATTAATCACCGGTTATTTTTTCAATTAGTCGACTAAT